AGAACTGGAATAAACAAAATCAGAAACCAAAGAGGTGAAATAACAACAGACCCCATGGAAATACAACAGATTGTTACAAAATACTACGAACAACTCTATTCCAACAAACTGAACAACCTGGAGGAAATGGACATATTCCTAGAAAAATACAAACTTCCAAAACTCAATAAGGAAGAATCTAAAAATCTCAATAGAACAGTGACTTGGGAAGAAATTAAAACAGTCATTAAAGCTTACAGCAAACAAAAGCCCAGGGCCAGATGGCTTCAAAGGAGAGTTTTACCAAACATTCAAGGAAGAACCTATCTTACTCAGACTATTCAAAAAAATTCAAGAGGAAGGGACACTTCTAAACTCCTTCTATGAAGCCAGCATCACCCTAATACCAAAGCCAGATAAAGACAACTCAATGAAAGAGAATTACAGGCCAATATCCCTCATGAACATAAATGCCGAAATCCTCAACAAAATTATAGCAAATTGGCTCCAAAGCCAGATAAAGACAACTCAATGAAAGAGAATTACAGGCCAATATCCCTCATGAACATAGATGCCAAAATCCTCAACAAAATTCTAGCAAATCGGCTCCAGCAGAGCATCACAAAGATCATACACCATGACCAAGTAGGATTTATTCCAGGAATGCAAGGATGGTACAATATCCGCAAATCAATAAACATGATAATCACATAAACAAATTGAAAGATAAAAATCATATAGTCATATCAATTGATGCAGAAAAAGCATTTGATAAAATCCAACACCCTTTCCTGATAAAAATTCTCAACAAGGTGGGAGTACAAGGATCATACCTCAACATAATAAAAGCTATATATGATAAACCCACAGCCAACATCATACTCAATGGGAAAAAAACTAAAACCATTCCCTCTAAGAACAGGAACAAGACAGGGATGCCCACTCTCGCCACTCCTCTTTGACATAGTACTGGAAGTACTAGCCATTGCAGTTAGACAAGAAGAGGAAATAAAAGGCATCCAAATTGGAAAAGAAGAAGTAAAGTTATCCTTATTTGCAGATGACATGATACTGTATATAAAAAAAAACCAAAAGACTCCATTAAAAAATTAATTGACTTAATAAATGAATTTGGCAATGTAGCAGGATACAAAATTAACGCCAAGAAATCTATGGCATTTCTATACACCAACAGCAAACTTCTAGAAACAGAGACTAAAAAAGCAATTCCATTTACCATCGCACCAAAAAAATTAAGATACCTAGGAATAAACTTAACTAAGGAAGTAAAGGACCTATATGCGGAAAACTACACGACACTGAAAAAAGAGATAGAGGAAGATGTAAACAGATGGAAGAACATACCATGTTCGTGGATTGGTAGAATCAACATCATCAAAATGTCCATACTCCCCAAAGCAATCTATAGGTTCAATGCACTCCCCATTAAAATACCAACGGCATATTTCACTGACCTAGAAAAAACTCTTCAAAAGTTCATTTGGAACAATAAAAGACCCCGAATAGCCACAGCAATCCTGAGAAAGAAGAGTAAAGTAGGAGGGATCTCAATACCAGATTTCAAACTGTACTACCAAGCCACTGTTCTCAAAACAGCCTGGTACTGGCACAAGAACAGACATATAGATAAATGGAATAGAATTGACAACCCAGATATCAACCCAAATCACTATGCTCAATTAATATTTGACAAAGGAGGCATGAACATACAATGGAGTCAAGATAGTCTCTTCAATAAATGGTGTTGGGGAAATTGGACAGATACATGCAAAAGAATGAAACTGGATCACCAACTTAACACCATACACAAAAATAAACTCAAAATGGATACAGGACTTAAACATCAGACGGGAAACCATAAAAATACTAGAGGCATCCACAGGCAGCAAAATCTCAGACATATGGCAAAAAAACTTCTTCACTGATGCTGCCCCTAGGGCAATGGAAGCTAAAGAGAAAATAAACAAATGGGACTACATCAAAATAAAAAGCTTTTTTACAGGAAAAGAAACTATCAACAAAACAACAAGAAAGCCCTCTGTATGGGAGAACATATTTGCAAATGTTATCACTGATAAGGTTTAATCTCCAACATCTACAGACAGCTTACACAACTTAATAAAAGAAAGATAAATGACCCAATTAAAAAATGGGCAATGGATCTAAATAGAATCTTCTCAAAAGAAGACAGAAGGAAGGCCAAGAGGCACATGAAAACATGCTCAAAGTCACTAATTATCCGGTGGGGAGGGGTTTGGGAGGGCTGGGGAGGGCTGGGGAGGGCTGGGGCGGGCTGGGGAGGCGGTGAGGAGGCGGGGGCAGGGCCGGATGGCGGTCCGGAGGGGTGGGGAGGGGTGAGGAGGGGTGGAACAGACAGGCACAGAGCAGTGCTGCCACTCCTTTGCCTGCACTCCCAGCGTCGGGCCACCTGGGCGTCCTCCCAGGCCGCCGCTGGGGACCAGGGAGCTTGTCTGCGCCCAAAGCCGCGCCGCCTGGAGTGCGGTGCAGGCTTTCAGGTGACACAGGCTCCATCAGAGTGCTCTGATGAGCGCTCCCTCCCGTCCCCAGGGGTGTGGCCAGGGTGCCCTCTGCTGCCAACTGTTGAAGCCACTTGGGTTCTGGCTTGTGATTCCTGGTTTGACTTTGAGATGGAGAGGTTGCCTGCAGCCTGGGGCCCAGTGCTGGGCAGCCTGCCCCACAGGGAAATGGGGTAAAATTCCACAGCCCAGGGGGAAGGTGGGCTCCCTCCTAAGAGGACTCAAAAAGAGCCATTCCCGCTGTTTATCTGGGGTCGGGCTGCTGGTCTCCTGCAGGGGAAGCCACCCATTGGAACCCCATGTAGGCCATTCTTCCGAGTTCTACCTGGGGACAGAGAGACTGTCACCAGGCGGGGCCACCAGCACTGATGACACCCAGCGTTCTTGAGCATGCTGGGCCCACGTCCCGGCAGCAGGGATGGTTGCAGGAGCTGAGGCTGGCCCTCTGAAGCCTCTCACAGACTCCACGCCAGCCCCCTGCCTGGGGAGAGGGGAGCAGGGGGCCAGGGCGGCTCTGGAGCCAGACCACCCCAGATGAGGATCTCAGCTGTCACAGAGAGGGGCTGTGTCCCCGTGGGCTCCGTGCTGGGCGGCCGGGGCGGTGGTGCCTGTGGGGTGTGTTTGCTGGGTTTGCCACCTTGCTCTCGGCGCCAGAGGGAGCCCACCAGCAGCCATGTGACCTTCGCCAGGTCCTCACCCACTGGAGTTTGTGTTCCTTTCTGCCAGATGGCCACCATAGTCACTCCGAAGGCTTGCTGATGGGTTAGGAAGGACACATCTGTAGTAGTTCCCATGGAAGAGCAGCCTCCATCCTGATGGACCATTCGGTGGGAACTGTCATCCAGATCAAGACGCCCGTTTGCCCAGGCTGCTCTGCAGGCCTGAGCTCCCCAGGACTCAGCCCAGAGGTCTGACCGCAGGTGGAGGTGGCGCCCCCCAGCTCTGAGTCCCCCCCACTGTGTTCAGGACCCTGCTCTCTCTGTCCCCAGCGGCTGTCCAATCAAATCTCAGTCTTAATGGGTTTTGGGGCGAGGGGTGCTTGTTCCAGTTCTCTGGGTTTGCTTCCAGGAGTTTGTGGTGTGATTTAATATATTTTAACAATGTCACTGAGTTATCATTGACACAATAAACCCTCACACACCCGCCCCCAATGCTTTCAGGGACCCCAACAGAAGGAAGCCAAGGGCAGGCCTGGCAGCTGGACCCCCTCCCGGAGGCTCTGGCTGGAGCCCCCGCACCGGGCCGTCCGGCTGACCGCCGGGCCGCAGGGCCCTCCGCCGCCGCCGCCGCCGCCGCCGCCGCCGCCGCGCTCCTCGGGGCTGCGGGGAGCGGGTAGGCCTGGCCCGCAGGAGGCACCTGCGGGGGGCCTCGCTGGCTTTTGTGGACTCCGCAATTTTGTAAATATTGGCTCCACTTTTCCAGCTTTTCCGTTGGGTTAGAATCACGGAGGCCAGATGCGCGCGGAGGACGAACTGCGTGGAGGGTCGAGGGCCTCGCAGACACGCAGCGTCTCCCCAGAGGGCGGTCCCGGCGCGGCCGGGTCTCCGCAAGGGAGGCCGTCTCCCAGGCGAGTCCCCCCCCTCCCAGAGGGGGCGCCGTTCCCCGCAGCCCGCCGCCGCCCTCCGCACCCAGAGCCACCGCTCCCGCCACGCCCTGCAGGCGCTCCCACCCCCTGCCAGCCGGAGAGGCCCGAGGCCGGAGGAGGCCCGGCCACAGCCCGCCCCGCCCGCCAGCTCCGGAGGCCGAGCCGAGGACCCGCGCGGGCGGAGACCGCAAGAGGCTGCGCGCGGCGGCGGGGCGGGGCGGGGCGGAGCGCGCGGCGGCGGGCGGGGCGGGGCGGAGCGCGCGGCGGCGGGCGGGGCGCGCGGCGGCGGGCGGGGCGCGCGGCGGCGGGCGGGGCGCGCGGCGGCGGGGCGGGGCGGGGCGGAGCGCGCGGCGGCGGGCGGGGCGGGGCGGAGCGCGCGGCGGCGGGCGGGGCGGGGCGGAGCGCGCGGCGGCGGGCGGGGCGCGCGGCGGCGGGCGGGGCGCGCGGCGGCGGGCGGGGCGCGCGGCGGCGGGGCGGGGCGCGCGGCGGCGGGGCGGGGCGGAGCGCGCGGCGGCGGGCGGGGCGGAGCGCGCGGCGGCGGGCGGGGCGGAGCGCGCGGCGGCGGGCGGGGCGGAGCGCGCGGCGGCGGGCGGGGCGGAGCGCGCGGCGGCGGGCGGGGCGGAGCGCGCGCGGGGCTGCGCAGTCTGCTCGGCGCTGGCGGTGAGGGCCGCGGGGCCGACGGAGGAGGCGGGAGTGGAGCCGGGGCGGCCGGGGCGACCGGGGTCGACGGGCGGCGGAGAGCAGTCATGGCGCCGCGCGGGGCCAGGGCCCCAGGCTCTGCGCGCGACTCGGGCGCGGAGTAGCGGGGCGGGGCCGACGCGGCGGCGGAGGGAGCAGCGCCCGCCGGCAGGCCGCCGCCCGGCCGGCGATGGTGACACATGCGGCGGCGGCGCGGCGGGACCATGGTTGAGCGCGCCAGCCGGTTCGTGCTGGTGGCGGCGGGCTCGGCGTGCTTCATGCTCATCCTCTACCAGTACGCCGGCCCCGGGCTGGGCCGCGGCGGCCCGGGCCGCGCGCCGCCCGACGACCTGGACCTCTTCCCCACGCCCGACCCGCACTACGAGCGCAAGTACTTCTTCCCGCGGCGCGAGTTGGAGCGCTCGCTGCGCTTCGACATGAAGGGCGACGACGTGATCGTGTTCCTGCACATCCAGAAGACGGGCGGCACCACCTTCGGCCGTCACCTCGTGCAGAACGTGCGCCTCGAGGTGCCCTGCGACTGCCGGCCGGGCCAGAAGAAGTGCACCTGCTACCGCCCCAACCGCCGCGAGACCTGGCTCTTCTCCCGCTTCTCCACCGGCTGGAGCTGCGGGCTGCACGCCGACTGGACCGAGCTCACCAGCTGCGTGCCCGGCGTGCTGGACCGCCGCGACCCCGCCGCGCTGCGCGCGCCCAGGTGAGCCCGCCGCCGGCCCCGCTCCCCCTCCGCCCCGGCTCGCTCCTTCCCATCGCCCACGGACCGTGCCCTGCCTGGGCTCCCGCCGGCCATGCGCCCCTGTGGACCCGGGCCGCCCCACGGGTGAGCCCAAGCCGGCCTCGGTCGCGGGGGCAGGGCAGTCGATTCTGGGCCTGTGTTCCCACCCGGTGCGTGGCTTTCCTGTGCCCTCTCTTCGGGCACTCCCACCCTAAGCTAACGCGAGACGTGGAGACCGCTCCCCACCCCTGTGGGCCCGCAGCCTCCCTCGAGGGGCTGGGAGGGCTGCCTGCTGGTGGGCTCCTAAGAACAAAGGCCCGAGTGCGGCCTGGCTCTAAGACGCAGACAGGGCAGAGTTGGGCCCGAACCAAGTGTGAGCTTGCCTGAAAGAGGAACAAAAGCCAGGTTGGGGGATGCTGAGCTGGGAGGGGCCGGTGCAGCCAGGCACCTTTCCTGGGGACCCCCTGTCCTGTGGAGGTTGGGGGCACACGACTGACCTACATGGGGGGCACCTCTCCGGGGATGCACCAGGACGGTGCTGGGTTGTGGGTGTTCAGGCGGGGATTCTTGCTTGTCCTGTTGGTGTGGGTGCTCTGGGCCTCCTCCCGGGTGTCGGCTGGAAAGGCCCGGCTGGAGGCTTTGCCAGCTGTGGGTTGTCTTCCGTTTGCCTCAGACTGCGCAGTCGGCTGGGTGGGATCTGGCTGGTGGTCCCAGGTGAGGACCCTTTTCTTTGTCACTCAGGAGGGCGCGGTCTCGGGGATCTGGCGGGGAGGCGGGCATCTGTCCAGTGGAGCTGAGCAGTGTGCATGCACTGCTCCTCCTTCTCAACCCTGCATTCCTTTCCCGGTCTCTCCCAGGCTGTTGGGAATTGGGCCCTAAAGCTAGTGGGAGTTGGGGGCAGGATATCTTCCCCCTTTCCCTTGGCTGTGTTGCTCCCTCCCCTACAAAGAAGCAGCTCTCAGCCTGAGAGAACATTCCTGGTCTCCTTACGGACCAACCTATCCAGGGCCCTTGAGCTTGGCTTTCTGCTCACACTTGGTCAGCTCTGCACAGATGCACTTTCCTGGCCTAATCCCCCCCCCCCCCCCCCCAGCATCTTCCCCCCACACACACACTCTCCGCGTCACACACACACACACACACACACACCCATGGTTGATCCTCCCTGTGCTAGACGGAGCTTGGCCTGAGGGCTGTAAGCCCCTGGAACTGGGCACTGTCCAACCCGGGTAGGCCTAGGCCCTAGGCAGGCACGTCCCTGTGGGTAGGAGGGGGCTGGTCGGTCAAAGGGAGTTACTCCCAGAGCCCCTTGGGGAGCATGTGCAGAGCTGGCTGGCAGGCACAGCAAGGGCCTGAATCAAGCAGATGGCCTTGACCCTAGTTTGTAGCCAGGTTTTCTTCCTGTAGCCCTGCCTCCTGAGGCTGGATTTCCCCAGGCCACAGGGTGAAGGTTCCGGCCTTGGTTTGGAGTTTGTCCTGGTAAGCAGATCAGGCTCCTCACACAGAAGGGGGAGGGTCAGGCGGAGCTGATTGCTGCACACCCCACCAGGGGGTGTGTAACAAGAATGGAGAATCAATGCCCAGCCTGGTCAGCCAGATGCCTGTTGCTGGGGTGTGCTGCCAGCCCCCTCAGCCCCCCTCACACACACACACACACACACACACACACCCCTTAATTGCTGAGTTCCGCGGCAGCAGCCTGTGGAGGGGGCTCTGGGTGCCGGAGGCCCTGCTCTGTGGTCCACACGGAGCGGTCTGCGCCACCATGCAGGTGACAGCTTTGCCTTGGCTCTCCTCCCCCTTTCATTTCTGACCAGGAATGAGATAGGCTGCTTTTTTATATATATATAATAAATCTTTATTGTTCATATTATTACAAATGTTCATTTCCCCCCCCCTCCATTGCTCCCCTCCATCAGGTTCCCACCCCACCCTCTGCCCTTTCCCCAGCCCCCATTGTCCTCATCCATAGGTGCACAGTTTATGTTCAGTCTCTTCCCGCACCCCCCACTCCTCTTTTCCCCGAGAATCGTCAGTTCACTCCCCTTTCATACCTCTGATTCTATTATGTTCACCAATTAATATTGTTCATCAGGTTTTTTAATTTCCTTGGTTTTTAGATTCACTTGTTGATAGTTATGTATCTGTTGTTCATAGTTTTTATCTTTATTTTCTTCCTCTTCCTAAAGAACCCCCTTCAGCAATTCATGTAATTCTGGTTTGGTGGTAATGAACTCCTTTAGCTTTTTTTTTATTTGTGAAGCTGTATCTGACCTTCGATTCTGAGTGATAGCTTTGCTGGGTAGATTATCTTCGGCTGTGGGTTCTTACTCTTCATCACCTTGAATATTTCTTTTTTTTTTTTTTAATATATTTTATTGATTTTTTTACAGAGAGGAAGGGAGAGAGATAGAGAGCTAGAAACGTCGATGAGAGAGAAACATCGACCAGCTGCCTCTTGCACACCCCCTACTGGGGATGTGCCCGCAACCAACGTACATGCCCTTGACCGGAATCGAACCTGGGACCTTTCAGTCTGCAGGCCGAGGCTCTACCACTGAGCCAAACCGGTTTCGGCACCTTGAATATTTCTTGCCATTCCCGTCTGGCCTGCATGGTTTCTGTTGAGAAATCAGCTGACAATAGTATGGGTGCTCCTTTATGGGTGCTGCTTTCCTTTTGCTGCTTTTAATATTCTCTCTTTGTTTTTTGCTCTTGACATTTTAATTATGATGTGTCTTGGTGTGGTCTTCTTTGGATTCCTTTTGTTTGGAGTTCTGTGCGCTTCCTGGACTTGTAAGTCTATTTCTTTCTCCAGGTGGGGGAAGTTTTCTGTTACTATTTCTTCCATTATGTTTTCAGTATCTTGCTCTCTTTCTTCTTCTGGGACCCCCATAATTCTGATGTTGGTTCACTTGAAGTTGTCTTCAACTTTCTGGATTCTCTTGTCTTCTTGCTTCTGTGGAGGAGTGTCTTCTGACTCTTTATGTTCCAAATCTTTGACTTGATTCTTGCGATCTTCCATTCTGTTTTTAGGACTCTGTATAATATTTTTTATTTCAGACAATGTATTTTTTATTTCTAGTTGATCCCTTTTCATATCCTCATAGGTCTTGTTTATTTTATCGGCCTTTTCTAGGAATTTCTTGAAAAACCTTTTAACCATGGTTTTGAACTCTGTATCCAGTTGCTTGTTGTCCTCCATTTCTTTCGTTTGTGATCTGTTTCCTTATCTCGGTATTTTCACCGCTTCCCTGAGTTGGTAGGGTGGCTTTGTATGCTAAGGTGTCCTATATGGTTGAGTGGGTCAGCCTCCCAGTTACCTGAGGTGGACACTCTTGGTGCTCCCCTTTGTGGACTGTGTGTACAGCCTTCTAGTTAAGTCTTGATTGTTGTTGGTATCACTGGGAGGAACTGACCTCCAGGCCAATTGGCTGTGATGTTCAGCTGTGTCTATGCCAGGAGACAGCCTTATCTGACTAGACTTGGAAAATTGCAAAAGCCTCTGTGCTCAGCTTGGATGGGGTGGAGTTTCAGGGTGGAGCCTATAGCCTTGGCTTCCCGTCAACCCCACCCTATGAGGTTCCTGAGTCTCAGTGTTCCTCAGTGTCCTTCGGTACTCGCTCTGAGAGAAAAGTGCCCTCAAGTTTCACCCGCTACCAGACAGTCTAGCCTCTCCCCCAATGAGCCTGGAACTGGGGTTCAGTGCAGTTGGAAGTGGGGTTCAGTGCAGTCCGGAGCTTTTGTCTCCTTCCCGCTAGGGCAATCCAGTGGCACAGTCAACAGTCCTCTGCGTGCAATGTGCACGATTCCGGGACTCTGCTTTTCGTCGCTCCCCTGAGTTTCCACCTTACAGCTTAGAATCCCTCTGTATGAGCCTGGACCCCAGGGTCTCGCCCATAATGGGTTCAGTGCAGTCGGAACTGGGATTCAGCACAGTCCGGAGCTTTTATCTCCTTCCCGCTAGGGAACGCCACCAGGCACTCATCCCTCCCCCCCTCCCCTCCAGCATCCTCTCTGCATTCGCGCACCATGTCTCCATACCTTAGGCTTTTACAGCTCCTCTGATTTTCCTTCTGGTTTTCTCTTTCCTTCTAGTTGTAGAATTTCCAGTCAGTCAACTTTCCTGTAGTTCTGGATAATGTCCATTTTGTATTTTAGTTGTGTTTTTTTTGAAATTGTTGTGCGAGGCTGCAGTTAGGCGTTTACCTGTGCACCATCTTGGTTCCTCCTCGGTGCCACTGGATAGGCTGTTTTTTAATGAGCTTCCTGAGCCCACGCAGCCTCGGCCTGTGCTACATGCGCCCGTCCTGAAGCCGCGGAGGCTGCCCTGGTCCCTGGCCATGGGCTCCAGCACCTCGCAGGAAGGAGTGCCCGTCCTCCAGGAGTGCCAGGCGTTGGTGGTGCCTGGTTTCATGAGTCTCAGATGTCACCCTCACTCCTTCCAGTAGGGCCAGGCCCCACCTTCCCCATGGTGTGGCACCACCCAGGTGGGGTCTGAGGAGCGATGGCCCTGGCCCCTAGAGCTGTCATGACACAGCCCCTGGGGTCTGGGCCCAGGTGAGGACCCTTTGTCAGGCCGGGCACACTGCAGGACCTGGGCAGATGCCTTTCTGTCACGAGGGGCACTAATAGGATTTCTCCCCAAGCCTCTCCCAGCTCCTGAGGCCAGGTCTTTGCGGCCTGGGGGAGGGGGACCTTGTGCAGGAAGAGAGGGTGCTCCCAGCTGCCGCTAATCTCCTGGTCAGGCTGGGCGTTCCGGGCCTGTGCGGAGGAGGCGTGTGGAGATGGCAGGGATGAGCTTGAGCCTCCAGTAGCTCCCTGACCTGGAAGAGGTGTGTGAGGCTGTGGCGGATTCCTGTTTGTCCTGTGTCCATCGAGGAGAAGGGGTGGGGGAGGGGCTGGCCTTGAGAGCTGTGGCTGCCCCTGTGCTGCAGGCAGGTGCTGACTGTTGCCAGGAGCTACTTTGTGCGTGTCTCCGC